AAGATGCAGGAAGAAGAGGCAGCAATTAAAGAACTAGAGAAAAAGTTAGAGGAAAAACGCTCAAACAAGGAAATAATTTGTGGTGGATTAAAACTAGACATGCCATGGAAGCTCGTGCCACTCACCTTGGAAAAGCCTACTGGCAGGAAAGAATGGTTGGACAACCTCATTCAGCAACGTGAAGCAGAGAAGGGTAAATGGAAAATCCACCCACTCGACCCCAGGAAAAAGTTAAGGTGCAGAAAGTGCAATGGACGTTACCATCAATCCAGTGAGTGCACCAAAAAGTAACTTTCTTTTAAGTGTTCATTGTCAAAGTGCCAAAATACTCTGTTAAAAGTTGTAATCATTCCTCAGTGAGACGTTAAGTTTTCAAATATTAATCAAGTACAACCAAGACGTGTTAACTATTTAAGTGCCAAGTTAATTGTTCTTTAAGTTAAAAGACTGAAAATCGTTCCTGTTCCTAAGTGCAATCAAATCATTCCGCTACTTGTGATAAATTGTGTTGTTGTGCCAAAGCAAAATGATGTACTATGTTAAGTGTTCATGCTCAAAGTTTACAATAAACCAATGGCAAAGATAAAGGAGTTTCAATCCAAACACCAAAGTCATGCATAACAATTTATTATCCTAAGGGACGGAGAGTCAAGTGACAGATGAGTGAAGGAATCAAAAGCCCGCTAATCCATAACAAGGGGCATCAAAAAATAGAGAAATCACAATAAAATACAAGTCACTATCAACAAAGGAACACGAATGAGTGAAGGAATTAAAAGCCCGCTAGTCCATAAAAGGGGCATCATATAAAATAGAGATCACAATAGAGACTAATGTGGACAGTCGAAATCTCAAATAAGCCCACCACAAATTAAAAGAAAGAAACAGAAGCTAAAACTAAACCACATCTGAAAAGAAACAAGCAAGTATTAGCAAACAAACCAAACTGGAGATAAAAAGCGGAAAGGTAGAGAGAGAAAGGAAACACTAACCTCACTCTTCCCGAGCGGAGCCATCATCATGGGAAGGGGCGTCGGGAAAACGAATCAATTCAGTCTGCAAGAGAAAGGTAAACATTGAAATAAAAACAGACAACAAAAACAACAACAACTAAAAGCGCGAGGAACAAGAGAACGTACAAAAGGCCAGCCCAGACAGCGCGCGCAAATATACTGGCTATGGTCGCCGTAAAGAGACTCCAAACCGAATTTTAAACGTTTGTAGCACACAAACCCAGTTAAAATAAAATCGGGGGCGGCATAAGGGGCGCAAGGGCCACACAAAACAACAGACTCGCCATCCTCGGTAGCACAATGGTAATGCAAGAACACAACGGCCGACATGGTCAAGCAGCGAGGGACGAGACTGAGAAAAACCGTTGGGATGTTTGAAAGCTCACCTTGTTCGTCCTCGCTAACGAGGTCCACCAATTCGATAACTCCATCTTCGACATCCTGGGCAATAGCAGCCAGATCAAAATTGTTCAAAAGAGGGAGAACAGGAGCGATGGGAGCCACTGGTGCCACTGGTGCCGGGTACAAAACGCCGGGAGGCGGGATCTGAGGCATCTCGGCCAACTCGGGTAATCCTCCAGGACCGAACTGTTCCAGGACGAGCTATTCAAAGAAAATAAAAAAATGAATAAACTAAAAATAAAGCACCAATCCTCTCCGAACGCACAAACCAAACCCACACACGAAACTTACATAGCAACGCTCAAGGCAGCATCCACAGCTATAGAAGCGCTCATCAGCAATCAATAAGTTATCGAAAAATCCTTGGAATTGGATAAAGGATGGGGAGGCCACCAGCCAATGGGGACTAAGCATCGTCGCTTGAACGCATTGAAGACAGATCTGAAAAGAGCACAAGGATTTAGGGCCGGGAAAAAGACGCCCAAGAGACGCTCCTTAAGGACGCCGACCGCCGGCTCCGTAAATCCAGAAAATAAAGCTAAATACTCACTTTTCTCCTCGTGTTATCAACAAGGTTGAAGCCCCAGAAGTGTTGCACCAAAACTTTCGAATACATGATGATTCTTTTAAGCAATATCACACAGAAAATGCAGAGAGGAGCGGAGAGCCGGGAGGAGCTCAGAACGTAGCGACTTCAAGATGGCGAGTGACCGTTGGAGGGAGTTGGCGCCAAAGCGCAGCGTCCCCACGGAAGGAGGGGAAAAGGAAGGAGTGGGGGTAACCCACTGCGCATGAGCGGCGCGCGCAGCCGAGTATGAGAATAAAAGAGGAACGCTGCCAGAACACTCTGAGCAGGCGGAGAGAGAGGACGGCTAGCAGAACAGCACTAGCCGAGAAATAAAGTTCTAAACCAAGGAATTGGATAAAGAACCAGAATAATTAAACACGTCAAGACTCAAGACAACGCTGGAATCAAAGGAAATCACCCATCAACGCAGGCAGAGGAAGATCAACGCTGGATTAGATACGCGGAGCATCTTTATTTTAAAAGTTAAGTATTCTTAACCTTCAAGAGGTTAATAAGAAACGTGGTAGTGTTCAAAATCAAAGGTGTCACGTAGATAGGTCTAGTCAGTCGTGTAGGAGACACCTAGGGCCAGTTAATTACAGCCCAAGGCTAAGGTTTAAGGGGTCAACAAATACTGTTCCAGGATTATTTGTGTGTTTCAGGTTCACTGGTGACACCTTTCTCCCACAGCAAGTTCACATCAAGATTAATTTGAATTTTAAAAGGCATGGAACTCCGTGGTTGATCTCCTGAATGGATTTTTAAACTACTATTGATAGCAAGTTAATAGTGGTCCGGCAAGGAATCATACTAATGCATTGCTACATACTAGGAGGGAAGTCAATTTCTTTTTGTTTGCACACCGAGCCAGACTAGTAGGTTTGAATAAGCCGTAGGTTTGGCAAAGTGGAAGTTCACAGGTTTAATTAAGTTGAAATTATTTAGGATTTGTTCATTTATTTATCAACAATGTTTAAAAGTAGAGTCAGTTCAATCAATTTGTACGCTAACGTCCAAGTGTATTGTATGAAGTTCAAGGCGAAGCTCTTGTGATTGTTTAAATTTTCTGAGCATTTTTAGGGAAGGGTTCTAAAAGAAGGGAGTAGTGTAGTATTATGGTAACATTAACCTAACCAGGTTACAGCAGAATACCCTCAGTCACGGCCACTAGTGATCACTATGGAAGCGACACCTACACTCAGACCCCTGAACCTTTAATTGTTTTACGATCGCCTTGTTCTTCTTGTTGTTATGCCAAACACTGAATAAATAGAGGCGCGAGCCTTTGACTCGTCGCCATTTACCACTCATGCGATCTGTTGTTCACATGATCTTGGCTCTCCCAAAACCCCCAATACTACAATATGGACTTATGAAAATATCTGCAGGTCTTCTTTTTAGAATAATTTGATGAGTTCGAAGAGATGATCTAATAGCAGTAACATATTCTTTTTCTGTCATTTTAAGTTCTTTTAAAAACTGTTCAAATGATAAATGTAAAGTATCATTGTCAGCTAATTTCTTTTTAATCTTCTGCAGCATATGTTCATACTTGCTTATTATTTCTCGGACCGTCTCACGGTGCCTACGTCCGTTGTGCCTACTGCTATTGTGATAACTTTATTTCTTCAAATGATGGAAGTTATTAGAATAACAGCTATTCCACCAGCTAACCTGTTCATTTCACCAGTGCCCTCCCTTGTTTCACCAGGTGTCCCCATTAATTACAATAGAGCATGATTATTTTAATAGACTAGTTATCTAAATTAAAGTTGTTACTGTAACTATTGTTATAATAACATAAGTTGTTACAATAACATTTATTACATTAACAACATGACTTATTACAACAAGACAAGTTATTATAACAACAAAAAATAGTCAAGTAGCAGGCCGGTGAGTGGACGTCCGGCTTCGCTTCTTGTTGCACACCTTGCACTCAAATGGCTACTCTGGTTTCTCTAACGGGCACGCCAAATAATTACCCAATTGCAATGGAACTCATTGGTGTGCAACAAGAAGCGAAGCTGGACGTCCACTCACCGGCCGCAGAGGTGTTCAGCGCCTGCCACTCCGAGGGTAGGCAACCACTGCTGCGCCGTCGTTGGTGCGGTTGCCTGTAGAGAGGGCGCCATGATGCTGAGCGACGACAGCGCTGGAAAGGCTAACTACTTGCTAGGATAACAAAGGCAAATGTTGTAACAACAGATACTTGACTATTTTTTGTTGTTATAATAACTTGTCTTGTTGTAATAAGTTATGTTGTTAATGTAGTAAATGTTATTGTAACAACTTATGTTATTATAACAAAAGTTACAGTAACAACTTTAATTTAGATAACTAGTCTATTAAAATAATCATGCTCTTTTGTAATAACTGGGTGACACCTGGTGAAACAAGGGAGGGCACTGGTGAAATGAACAGGCTAGCTGGTGAAGGGGGACGCCCCGTTTGTCCGACAAGTTATTTGTCCGACAGCCGCATTTAAGTAAATAAATAAAATAAATAAAGTATTACAACAACAGGGAAAGGGCTCGTTTCACTTGTCCGACAGGTGGAGTTGCGTTTCAAACTTGAATAGATACTAGAAAAAGTAGTTTCTGCAGTAGGGTTCAGTTTCTGGAACTACAATAATAAGTTGTAACAGTAAGTAGGAGTTATTGCAATAACTTAGAGTTATTCAAATATCTTTCGCTGGCGCGCCCGGCACCGTATTCGGGAGGCCTTTCGGCTATACTCGGCTCAGCGCTTGGGCCTCAGGCCTGGCCGTGGCTCGGCCACCCGGGAACAACGCCGGACGCGCCAGCGAAAGTTATTTGAAAAACTTCGAGTTATTGTAATAACTCCTACTTACTGTAACAACTTATTATAGTTCCAGATACTGAACCCTACCGTAGCAACTACTTGTTCAAGTATTTTTAGCGCTATTAAAGTTTAAAAAGCAACTCCGGCTGTCGGACAAGTGAAACGAGCCCCTTACCTGTTGTTGTAATACCTCACTTATTTAATTTATTTGCTAAGTTACGACTGTCGGACAAATAACTTGTCGGACAAACGGGGCATTCTCCTGGTGAAATAGCTGTTGTTCTAATAACTTTCATCATTTGAAGAAATAAAGTTATCACAATAGCAGTAGGCACAACGGACGTAGGCACCGTGACGCCATCCCTTATTTCTGGATCCATGTCATCTGGTAATGGAGCTAATATTTTCGTAGTATTCATTGGGAAGTAAGGAATACCAAAACGACATTCATCCTTGTTACCATTCTTCTTTTTACAGGATTGAGAGTGTTTGTGTGTTTGTAATTTCACCAAATCTTCAGATAAATTTTCAGATGAACATGAGATGATTTTATCAATGAAATTACAAACATTATGCTTTGACATACAGTCGTTGATATCAAATTTAGGTGCTCCTTCTAACCAAATAAGCATATGAACATGAGGTGACCTATAATTATAAAATGTAATATTAAGAAAGATTGTCAGCTATAAATGAAAGATTGAAATAGTTATAAGTAAATTACCCGCGTTGTTGAAATTCTATTCGGTGATAATGATGAGAAATTTTATGGTGTAGAAAAGGTCCTTCTGGACTTTTCCATGTTTTCTGAATTGCTTTAAAGCGTTGATCAAAATGAAGAGCAGCTGTTACTGGATCTTTTTGTAGTAATTTGGCTCGCTCTTGAGATGATAATTCTGATGCTTCTTTCTCTGATATAATTTCTTTATCTACCGATTTTTTAAGTGCAACCATTAGTTCTGGCCATCTTGTATCAGCAGAAGATAAAGTTAAAAAAAAAGATGGCAATCCAAATTGTCGAATTTGTGCCATTAATTTTGCTTTTTCCTGTTGCCAGTGTGCTGGACTACTTCTTATTCCTTTTAAAATTTTGTAACCATCATTATGATGTACCACTCCTTCAACATAATTAGAACTACACATATCTGCAGCTGTTATTGTTCTGTTTCTGACAGTTTTTTTGCGTAAACAGATTCCAATATTATTGTAAAGTCGAAGCAATTCTAGTTTTTTAGCCATAAATAGGAGCAGATCACCTCTCTCTGCCACTCTTCTGTCATGTCTTAAAATTAATGATTTTGTAAAGTCAGCATAAGAAATTTTCTTGTTATTATATTCAGGTTCCATTTTGTGACCTCCAAACACTGTTGGAAATGCTAGAAATTCACAGTTTTCATCAAATAGAATGCTACTAGGTGTATAATTTTCAGCTGGAGCCATTCTAATTCCTACATTTGAAGCACCCATAAAATCAATGTTATCAGATGATAGAAGGGTTTCAAAAATTGCATTATTAGTATAAAATTCATCATCAAAATCATTGAAATTATCACCACAATCTGGGAAATTCCAATTTTCTGATAATTCAATTCCTTCTTCCAAGGGTAAAGGCATTTGTACAAATTTTTCTGCAGCATCATATAATAGTTTAGGACGCACATTCCCAACCATGTAATTACTTATATATTGCATTCTTCTTGCTAATTTTACATGGATCATGTTTGAATCAGATAGTGCTCTAGGTATGCAACTGACAGTTGTGTCCATGTCTACTGGTACATTAACAATACCTCCTTTTGTTCTGTATTGCCCAGATCCTCCA